GCCCACCTGCAGTCCGCAGGTTTCGGCCTGCCTTGGTATTCCTACTTCTGCCTGGATGTAGCAGTCTTTCTTTTAGCCCTAACTGGAACCTCCATCTGGGGTTTCATCTTTGTCTGTAGGTTACTCTGCTGCAAAAGGTCCAGCAAGAAGATCAAACCAGAGTAATTAGTCAAAAAAATTACTTTGTTTTAATAAATATACAATGTTACTACAGGGTTCTGCATTTAGCTGAGCAAAAGATAACAACATACGAATATTTCTGCCTCATATTCAATGTTCTGTTAAGACTGTAAAACTCTTAATTAACTTCTAAACTCCATTAAAATGTTACTTCTGGACATACTGAAGATTTACTTTTACCTAAATACTCTGGCATTGCTCTGACTAGTTGAGTGCTTTTCTCTGCAACTTGTATGACATTTTCTGTACACAACTGATTAAAGATGTTGAATTTAATACTTTTTTGAGCGTGACAATTCTTTCACCCACATTACTTGATCCTTCAAGAGGTATTCTGAAGGCCTTTCTTGTTCTCATCTATCCCAGGAACAAAAATTAATTCAAATTACAGTATGAACTACTGTCTCTTCTGTATTAGTAATTTTGTTGATGATTAACAGAAGAGATCGAGCCTTCTTTCCTGCCTTCTGGCAGCAAATGCATCCATAATTGTGTGCACCAGTTTAAAAAGGACATGTGAGAACAGAGAGTGAAAATGTCACTAAATACTTACAGATGTAATTAGAAGAAACACCATGTCACCACATGTAACAAAATCTTTGTAGCTTACCTATTGCACACATATTGGACTTTGTCCCTCAAGCTCAGACTTGCTGGTTGAAACGTGAAGCAAGTGTCAAATACAATCCTGCTGCCTGACAACCGGCAACTCAAGGCAAACATTTGGAACTTGACTCATCAAGATTCAGGTTTTTTCTGTTTACCTTATTATCATGAAGAGAATATGTCCATATTGTTCATTAGTGTTGTTTTCCTGTTTCTCTAGGACACAGGTGTCAAACTCCAGTCCTGGAGGGCCACTGCTCTGCAACTTTTAGATGCCACTCTGCTGCACCACACCTGAATAGAATAATTAGGTAATTAGCAAGGCCCTGGGGCACCCATCTACACAGGAAGGAGGTAATTAACCCATTTCAGTCCAGTGTTTTGTACCTGTGGCACATCTAAAAACTGCAGGACAGTGGCCCTTGAGGACTGGAGTTTGACATCCCTGCTCTAGGAGAATACATTGTGAGGGAGGAAAAAAAAAACGGCCATCATTGAAGCTGTCTTCAGACATGTTTTTGTAACGTCGTATTTCCTAAACTATGCAACGTAGAAACAAAATGTTTGTGCCAATTTGAGTTCAAAGCTTCCTGACACTCACGACGTATTCGTTTTGTTCATACCTATTATAGTTTTGTCATGAAACGTGTTTGTTCCAAACTTGCAAATCTCATTTTCTCACGTCCGCCTGTTTTTCCAACGTCTACAAAATGAGGCATATTTTTACATCGTCACAGCTCAAAGACAGAAAAAGGTACATGCATGAAACTTGTCATGGTTTGTCACT